ATATATATATATACTGTGTATATATATATATATATATATATATGTATGTATGTATGTATACGTGTATATGTGTATGTATGTACTGTATATATATATATATATATATATATAAAGTTGACTTTAATTAAATAGCATTGACTTTGATTAACCTCTATTCTTAACAACTTTAGAAGAATTAATAATTCATTAAGTTTTGTATATTGTTCAGTTGGGGTCATAATACATAATTATACAAGAGCATAGTGTCAGGACTAGTCATTATCTACATGAAAAGGGATTTATGTATGAACATATGCTGCAAGGTTTTTGAAGCATAACCCCAATAAAGCTTCATCAAAACCTAATAAATGAATTTTGCAATGCGTGTGCAGAGCTGATATCAGGGGGTTTAAAGGTCAGCTACAAGGCCTCAGCCCAGATGGACCCTAGAGGCGAGCAAATAGCAGCCCCTAATTTAACATATCTGCTGTTCTCATGTCACGTGGTGCCGCTGCGGAACATCAAAATGGAATAATAATGTTTGCTTGTTTCTTCCAGAAATGAAGGAAATTTTTTCCATACAACAAAACGTCTCGGTTATGTATGTAACCCTCGTTCCCTGAAGGAGGAAACGGTGACATCACGTCAGTGACTGACGAATTGGGATCTCGCTTAGAGAGACCGATCCACTTAGAGTGTAAACTAAACGAGCCAATGCACATTGGCATGCGATGATTGCATCCAGCTGCCGCTGATCACAGCGTGAGTATAAAAAGGCAGCCGGTTCAACGCATGGTGACCAACGAATTGGGATCCCTACCAAAGAGCCATGAATGCTGCCCCTTCCAGTGTCCTGTGCGAGCTGCCTGCGCCCCTTTTTGGTGTAGGCCGGGGCTCGCAACAGGAAGACCAGTCACCGCTATCGGTGCACTTCCCACTCAGTGAGATTGGATAACGCTTGGAAAACGCACCCGTTCCACTTGAAACAGGAACATTGCGGAAGCCCCATCCTTCCCGAAGGAGGTTTCGGAAGCACTTACACATATGCTACTGGTTCTCACGGATTCAGTGAGTGAGGGCCTGGCGCCGGACGTTCCGCCATATCTGGCTGCCGAGGGGACGGAGGAGCTCGACAGGGTCTACAGAACAGACACTCAGGGGCAGTTTTAGCAAGCCGACACTAAACCGGGGCCTCTCAGTGCCTCTACCCGTTTGAGGTGAGAACACAGGGGCTCCAAACGAAGGCTATAAAATCTAGTGAACGTGCTGGGGGTCGCCCAGCCCGCAGCTCTACAAATATCTCTCAGCGAGGCGCCACGAGCCAGCGCCCAGGATGCAACACTCCTAGTAGAGTGAGCTCGCAACCTGAGCAGGCAGGGCACACCCTGTGCCTGATAAGCCAGGGTGATGGCATCCACAATCCAGTGGGCCATCCTCTGTAACAGACAAAGAGCGTGTCTGAGGTCCTAAAGCTTTGTGTCCGGTCTACGTAGCATCTCAAGGCTCGGAGGGACAGAGCAAAGCTAGGGCTGGGTCTGCCTCATCCGGGGGCAGCGCTTGCAGGCTCACCACCTGATCCCTGAAGGGAGTATTGGGAACCTTGGGCACATAGCCGGGCCGGGGACTCAGGATTACCTGGGAGTCAGCCGGCCCAAACTCTAGGCACGAATCGTCGACCGAAAATGCGTGCAGGTCCCCTACCCTCTTGATGGAGGCCAATGCAAGCAGGAGCAGAGTTTTCATTGAAATAAACTTTAGCTCAGCTGACTGCAAAGGCTCAAATGGGCCCTACTGTAGTGTTTTAAGGACCAGAGACAGGTCCCAAGAGGGTATGGAGAGGGGCCGGGGAGGATTTAACCTTCTCGCTGCCCTAAGGAACCTGATGACCAGGTCATGCTTCCCTACCGACTTCCCTTCCACGGGGTCATGGTTAGAAGCAATCGCAGTGACATAGACTTTAAGGGTGGAGGGAGACAGCCTTCGCTCCAACCCTTGCTGCAAAAAGGAAAGCACGACCCTGATCGGGCATCTCAGAGGGTCTTCTCGACGAGAAGAACACCACTCGACGAACAGGTTCCACTTCAAGGTGTAAGCATGTCTCGTAGACGGTGCTCTCGCCGAAGTGATGGTGTCAACCACCTCTTGGGGTAGGTCACCAAGAACCTCCGCATCCCGTCCAGGGACCAGACATGAAGTTTCCAGAGGTCTGGACGCGGGTGCCACAGGGTGCCCCGTCTCTGAGTCAGTAGATCCTTCCTCAGAGGAATCTGCCAGGTAGGTGCTGTCGCGAGGAGCATTAGTTGCGGAAACCAGGTCGGAATTGGCCAATACGGCGCTACAAGCAGGACCTGCTCCTCGTCCTCCCTGACCTTGCACAGCATCTGTGCGAGAGGGCTCACTGGGGAAAACGCATACTTGCGCAGGCCCCACGGCCAGCTGTGTGCCAGTGTGTCCGTGCCGAGTGTTCCCTCGGTCAGGGAGTAGAACAGTGAGAGATTTCTGGAGAGGCAAACAGGTCTACCTGAGCGGCTCCGAAACGTCTCCAAATCAGCTGGACCACCTGGGGATGGAGTCTCCATTCTCCCGGGAGTGTAGCTTGTGACAGCTCATCGGCCGTATGGTTGAGCAGACCCGGAATGTGAATGGCACGAAGTGACCTCAGAACCTTCCGACTCAAAGGAGGAGGTGGCGGGTGAGTTGCGACATGCGACGGGAGTGTAGACCAGTGTTGTAGCGTGTTGGGACCAGCACGTGCTTGCCTCGTAAGCGCCCTTTGAGACGGTTCAAGGCAAAGTGGACCGCTAAAACCTCTAGGTCAGGGGTGGCGAACTCCGGTCCTGGAGAGCCTCAGCCCTGCAGAGTTCAGCTCCCACCCTAATAAAAACTCACCTGCCTGTAGCTTCCTAGTAACCGTTCAGACCTTGATTAGCTTGTTCAGGTGTGTTTGATTAGGGTTGAAGCAAAACTCTGCAGGGCTGCGGCTCTCCAGGACCGACGTTCACCACACCTGCTCTAGGCAATTGACATGCCAGGGCAGTTGGGGGCCCGTCCACACCCCTGACACTGCGTGCCCGTTGTACGTGGCCCCCCAGCCGGTGGTGGAGGCATCCGTGTAAACCACAGCATGCCTGGAGACCTGTTTTAGGGGTACTCCTGCCCGGAGGAACGCAAGGTCTGACCACGGGGTGAAGGTTTGGCGACAGGCCAGTGTAACTTGGACCCGGTGAGGCGTGGAACTCATGACTGAGTTCCACGCCCACCTCGGAACTCAGCCATGAAGCCAGTGCTGAAGCGTTCCCATATGAAGCAGCCCCAGCGGTGTAACTGCTGCTGCAGGGGGTTTGTGAATTCAACGAAAATCTAATAATTAATTAATCATAAAAGTGTAAAATTAAAATAAATAATTTTAAAATAACAACAACCAAAATAAAGCACTTACTAAAAAGATTTGTTTACCTGCATGTCATGTTACCATTAACCAAAACTCGAAAACTCAAAGATTTTTTGAATATACATAAAAGGTAGGCTGTTTTAGAAAGAAAAAAAATTAAAAGTTATAAAAGAAGAATTAGAGAGAATCAATAAATTATCAGTAATTTATTGCAATTGTGTGAATAATATGTAATCATATAATCAAAAAAGTAACAGTCTGATTATGAGTATATTCAAATGTAATATAATCTAATTACAAGTATTTATTTTTGGAATCTGATTACGTAATTACTACCCAGCACAATAACTTAGTGTTGCTGTTAAAGCACTAGTTCATTCAAGAATGTAAAATCTGTGGTCTTTTACTTTTTCATGGCATTAAAAAAAGAAGAGAATTCATTTTTAGATTAACTATTCTGTTGAAAAAGAGGTAAACTACTTATGTCATGATGCTTCAGAAGATAACATTTTTAGATATTTTTTCTTAATTTTTCTTCAGACACAACCAGAGGCCCTTGGAGGTGACAAGGGATGAAGTTCATAAGAACAGATGTCATGTGAAGTTTCCAGAACTTTTCTCCAGCTTTCCTTACCGGGTCAACGTCACGGCAGTGAACTCCCTGGGTCGAGCTTCCATTGTTTTTTTACTAGTGGGTGCAGGAAAATAGCAAAATAAAGTAAACTGTGACATATTATACCCAAACATTCTCCATACAGTGCACTACCAGTAAAATTGATAAAGATTTGGGACCAAAAATTATTCAGACACTTTGACCTGCCCATGTGTTGCTTAAGTGTTATCTGACTCCGAGTTCTTATCATATTTAATTAACTTTTTCTAAACTATAGCGAATAAACTGTGATAATGTGTGAAATGTTGAAGGTGTCTGTATGTATGTATGTATTTATG